ATAGACTTTTCTATTATATGCTGCTTATATTCTTTGATACTTAAATGCCTTAAAGTAAACAATTACGTTAAGATCACGACAGCTATTACGTGATAGCTTAACAAGGTCACAATACGTCTAGATACAGACTGTAATCATCAAGGTCATTTCTCTAATGTGTCAAAACTAGCTGTGATCCGGATACTATTTTTATTTTCGGTATATTAGAATAGTAATATGTGCATTACCATAAAAAACTTAGACAGTATTTTAAATTTATTTTAACTCCAATATGAGTCAATCCTTTTATACGTGGATTTTTAACAAATCTAAGAAATTAGTTATGAATTCACGAAATTACATTTAAGTAACCAAACTTTGAACTTAAATAATAAATAGACTAAGCATTTATCGCTTAAAGTTTTGCGTTAAATAAATAAAGCGGATTTAATGTAAGCAAGGATTACTTAATTAAGTCTTGCTTAGTATTCATAATTAATCTCTATTTACAGTTAACGCGAAGTTTAAGTTATTGTTTGTTATTTATACTTAGTAGAATTCCATGTAGTTATGTTTAAGTAATGTTTTGTGATTTTTTTACCTAATACCTAATATAAGTGTAGTTAAAATAACAATACAATTTAATCAGTATTAAAACTTAATTTCGTAGCCATTTGACACATTGAATAAATTACTATTGGCGCCACTGCATCCCCCCTACCCCTCCACACTGCTATCTCCGCTACCCAGGGCTGTCACTTTTAGTTTTACGACAATTTATTAGAACCAACCGCGGCTAGACTCTTTCTTATATTTGCATGATGCACACCTTTTTTTATAATTCTTAGCATGTTTATTTTTTTTTGTATCTAATTAGTCATGAAGCTTCTGCTAACGTTACCATTTATTGAATGCACGATTAGAATTCATTGACACTAGATAACTATGAACCATTAGGCTATGGGCACTTTATTGGTGCCGATATCCTCGGTGTGGTACTAACCCATGATTACTTTTTTTTGTTAAAAGTTAAGGGGTGGGATGGTACTATTTTTTGCCAGTGTTCATATATACGTACACTGGTCGACAACCCTATAACTACGTCCCGCTGTTAAGCTACTTATCAAGTTTTATAATAAGCTATTATGAAACTATCGTATAGTGCAAATTGCACTTCAAGCAATATTGCCGCACATAATAGTGAATTATATTACGTAATGTGGAAATTTTTATTGCAATACGAGGAGTAATTTATAAGGTAATATCTCCTAGGAGGGATGTATCATGATATTTGATTTTGTTTACTTTAAATTATGTGTTTTATTAGTTACTATCTTTCGCTCGTGACTCCGTACGCATGGAATTACAAAACAAAAGTAAATAGCCTGTGTTCTTCCAGACTATTCTTTACAACTATGTCAAATTTCAATGACAACCATCCATTCATAACTTTCGCATTTATGTTATTAGTACGAAGTAAGAACAGAAATCTTCCACACTACATGTTAACTATTCTTTGGCTTTCAGAAACGTGTACTTTTACATACTTTAAATTGCAACATCAACAGTAAATGTGTTAAAAGCGACCACAGAAACGTTCCACGGATGTTTTTTGTTGTCTTTTTTTAATCTACGTAGTGGTGGCGCTGGGGGTGGCTAGGGGGATGCAATCTACTTCCCTTGCGAACAACATTAGAGTGCAGCTATGCTTATGTTAGTTTCACACAAGGGTAAAACAGTAGTAGTAGTATTATTACAAAGCGGGGAAAAAGAGTACATACTGTTTTGATGAATGTCTGCGTCCAGCCAATAACAGTACTGCACTGTTTTTCTGTCCTGCATCTCTGTTCTACCCTTGTGTGAAAGTAACATTAGTGCATTTGTTCTCGTTTGTTCGTACGTTAGAACTATCTGAGCAGTCATTTGCTAATGATCACTACAATATCATACCGTGTTTACATAATTCCTGTTAATTGATTTAAAGCTTCGATAAATGTGTATATTATTGCTAAAACGTTATTCAAAAATGTGTTGCTATCCTTGTCATTTTAATTGAAAATGAACGGAGAAAACAAACATTTTGGGAATGCAAATAGCCAGTGGAAACCTACATTTACGGTTTTAAAAACAGTATTCTGGCAGATTCATTTATTATTCTTAAAAGTATTGTTTACGTAAATACTTTTGTATCTAAAAATGTGTTTTACATTTCACAAGACATTTCAACACAACACCAATGACGAAAGCAAAATGTAGTGTTTCTTTATTTTTATAATAATATTCCGTATTTCACACGTTTTATTCCAGGATGTTTATAAAAACTGTACAATAAACAAATCGACACAACACTCGTTGCCGGAACAGGTATGTTTACTTGTCTGTCATCGCACACGAGATAGATAGCACGGGAGCATTGCGAGTTGGAATTTACAGTAAACTGGGTAACATTACTTTAGCATTCGATCTTCAGGGCGGTTACACATTGGTAACCCAGCTATTGGCACAACATATGCTAGTAAAATGCGATCGTAGGAAGCAAGAGCGTGAAGTTTTGTATTCCCTTTGATCTTATTTCACTGTTGCCCCAAAATCAAATATCGTGCTTAGCGTGCACATACTTGTTGTTGTAGTATTTACATGCAAGTGTACTAGCTACTGCTACGTGTATTCCCAGCCTTATTTTAAAATGAGTCACAGATTTGTTTTTTCAGTTTTGTCAGTCACGTTTTTCCCTTAGTGTTAAAGGACTATTAGCTGCGTTCCTTAGTGTATTTAGAAGGTTCTTAAAAGACTACTTAAGTAAACATTTAATTACTTTGAGTAGATCATAGTTAAAAGAATTTTCAGCGTTTAAGTACTGTTGAAAATTAAGCTTTAATGAAGAAGGCTCTTTACCAATTAATGACTCTGTGTTCGGAGTTGGTGTTTTATCCAATTTAATTAAAAACGCTGTGTATAATTAGAAATTATAGCTTTAACTAAATTAGTTTCCATAATGAATGTATCGCGTAGGATTATCGACCTTTCGTGATTTCCGATCTCGGCTAATTGAATGTTGACCTACTAGAGGGCGCTGACCTCTTCTGATCTAAGAAATTATCTTTACTTAGTCGTTTAATACCCTTAATTAAGATAAGCCGAGGTTCATTGGTCCGTAAACACATTGTAGGATAAGATTCAGTGACAGGAGGTCGGAGATCTTGATCCTTTTATGTTGAAACATAATGCCAGCGATATACTGAGTACAACCTAGTTATGTTACTGTCCTCTAACAATAAATAATAGGTTAATTAATGTGTGCCTCGAATATATTTTAATTGTAAGCTTTCGCTTGTGTCTCCGTTTACGTGGAATTAAAAAAACAAAAGAAAGTAGCCTATGTGTTCTTCCAGACTATGCTTACATCTATGCCAA